AGACACAAGCCACGTGTCGTTAGAGTTAGTGTTTAGTTCTATACCAATCATGAGTAGTCTGTGAGACTTATTATATAATTTAAAATGCCTATGAACGCTAGACCATCATATAAATAATCAGGTATAATGGCAAATGTCGGGTGCTATAATCCGCCTACCAAGCGTGGCAACTACAGGCAATACCGCCCTAGAGGAAGGCTTATGTTCAGCAGTGGACAGTTAAAAGCTGATATGATGACGATGATGATGAATGGGCTATGAGAAAGGAATAACAAGTGATGAGATTTGAGGAAAACATATTGGGATCAAATCGTAATCTCATTGAATAAATGTCAAATAGTTTTTTTTTTTTTTTATACAACTTAGAATGGCAAACAAGCTGACGGCCCACCTGATGGAAAGTGGTAACCGTCGCCTATAGACATGAGCGGTACCATGGATATAATAGAGTATACCTACTGTTTCACCCATGATACCCTGCATGCGTTGCCATTCCTAAGGACTCAGGTGTTATTCCTCTGTACCCAGTAAATTCACGCCATATCCCACTCTTCAAACCGAAACACAGCTGCTTCACGGTTGAAACACGAATGGGACAGAGGTACCCAAGCAATCGACATTTGTAGAAAGTCTGCCTCCTTCTAAATTTACCTAATCAAGAAACAAACTTGCAACATATGTTTTTACGTATTTTTGACATTATTCTATTGTGATTGTGATGATAAGTCTTTGCAAATTTTAAAAGAAAAAAATATTTTCAAAAATTATTAGCTCCTGACATCTTCTAGAGTTGCACGTATCTAACCATAAGGTGGGCCGTATACTTGTTACGGCCTTAGTGATACAAAAAATATGTATTCGTCCGATTCGACCGGTCAATGTCGCGCCAATCTCCACCGCCCCTATCATAAATACTTCGTCTCGTGTGCAAACTGATAAAACTTGGGTACACCATATCGGTCACCTTGCTACGAGTCAGTGACCTGACCTCTGTAACTAAAACCGACAAGTACACTTTTATACTTGGAAATGTCTCGACTTTGGTAATTTAATTGAATCAAATTCTCATTATCGTCACTGACTTCTTGCCTCGGAAGACACGTCGGAGACCTCAGCATGTAAAGAAAGCACCCTAGAATATATTGGGGGGAAAGGGGTTGTTACCAATAAAGTTTGACAGCCCCATTGCTAGCAATATGCCCTATTAGGTCGACCTCCACGTGGTTCGCCTTGGAAACTATATTGTTGAATTCGTCACGATGGGCTAACTGACCTACTTCATCTTCACCTATCGTCCTTCACTGGTGCTCCGCTGGTGTATACCGATAGCGCGGGTGGGCTTATTTCATTCCATTATCACCCATTAAAAAAAAAACTAGAATATATATTTTTTTAATGGATGAAAATGGTATGGTAACCCCGCCTGCTACTACACCAGATGGGTCTATCTTTGGACACACTGTGCAGACTGTGTGGGGAGAAATCGGAATCATTGAACACTTGATGTGCAACTGCGATTCGTTGGCAAGTATGCGTATGAGTCTACTGGGAACGGCTTATCCAGAACCAGGGGACTACAGATATCTTAAACCGCGGGATATTGTCAAGGTAACACAAAGGATCTATGAAATGATGGTATAAGGCAGGGGGAAGCACAAAAGATCTTAATGGGTCGACGTGCAATAGCTTAGCTGACCCCATATGCGAATATAAGATAAGATAACCCCGCCTCCGCTAACGGGATACGCTGGCGGAGCACCAGTGAGGGGTGATAGATGAGAATGCAAACAGGCCAGTTAGCCCATCATGATGAATTCATCAGGAATTAACCGTGATAGTTTCCAGGGGGAACCGCGAAGAGGTCGACCTGGTTGGGTATCTTGCTAGCAATGGGATTCTCGGTCTCCATTACTAACAATCTCTTTCCCCCCGACCACTGTAGTTAGGCTTTGGTGATATTTTAAGACGGGCGCTGCTGCTCATCCCTCGACAATTAAATTATCTTATTTGGCTCTTACGACACCCACGGAAAAGGAACGGGTGGTCCATTCTATACCGGGACCACACGGCTAATGAATGATAAAAAAAACTCCATTTATTTAAATGTAATTTTCAACCCAATAAATACCAAAAAATTCGTCATTTTCTTCTGTTGTATGTGTGCTATTAAGTATGTGTATATATGTGTATATGTACATGTATGTATATATGTTTGTATATAATATAATTTCTATAATAGTGTGTCACCTGCCCTTTGTCTTTTTCTCAATGTCCTCTACCCAAAGGTTGTCTGGAAGAGATTGCTCAGCAATAAAGCCACCTTTTATAGCACTTCTCATTGATATTTACTGTAATTGTTATTTCTCTTTTTACTTGATAAATAAACTCAGATCCCCACATACTGCCAAGAACTAATAACAATTTCAAATCCAATTATTAATTGTGACATAATTGTTATTCGACAAGAAAACTTATAATTATAAAACCAACTGTACGTTACGTACAGTGAGTGATGCAAAACTTAAATCTGCACAGGAACAAAATCTAGGTCCAAGCAGACGGCAGACAATGGCCGTTGTGTAATCTACTGATAATGTTCCGATTACGCTGGCTCCCATGCCCCTGTAATTCATGTGTCGGTCATGTCGGTGAGAGCCGCCCGACCTGGACTGGGAATGAGAGTACTCGTTCATTTTCAATAAGGATATTAACATTAAGGTCTTTTATATATCATAAAGGTGATAAATAAACATACAGCCCGTCTGACGCTAACGCTGTAGCCTATGGACGCCTGCAATATTAGGGTTTTTTTTTGATGGGTGAAAATGGTATGGTAACCCCGCCCGCGCTAACGGGATACGCTGGCGGAGCACCAGTGAAGGGTGATAGATGAGAATGAAAACAGACCAGTTAGCCCATCGTGATGAATTCATCAGGAATTAACCATGATAGTTTCCAGGGGGAACCGCGAAGAGGTCGACCTGGTTGGGTATCTTGCTAGCAATGGGATTCTCAGTCTCCATTACTAACAATCCCTTTACCCCCGCAATATTAGGGGTGTCACGTGCCAACCACGGGTGTCAACCCTAAAGAAACCTTAACTCCATACTGTAGTCTCTAGGAAAAATTCGGCAGGTGGGGAAAAAGAGTCGACTTCATCGCGGTTTCCCCTGGAAACTATCATGGTTAATTCTTGAATTAGTAACTGTGGACTAACTGACCTCCTTTCATTCTCACCTATCATCCCTCACTGGTGCCACGCCAGCGTATACCGTTAGCACAAGCAGGATTACCATTCCGTCGTCATCCATTAAAATTTGGTAAGGAGCTCGTTGTACAGTCAAAACGTAAACGGAAAGTATCTCCTTTGAAACTGAATTAGTTTTATGAATTCCCGCCCAGTTCAGAATGGAATTTCAACTGAGAAAACTAGGGAAGAAACACAGCTGTTGCTTTATAAAATAAAAATTTAATTTACAACAAAAAAAATTAATAGACAAATTGACTATCCAAAACTTCATATTGATGTAAAAAAATTTATTATAATAAATAATATTTTTATACCACCTGATGGAAAGTGGTAACAGTCGCCTATAGACATGAGCGGTACCATAGACATAACAGAGTATACTGTTTCGCCCATGATACCACCCATGCATTGCCATTCCTGAGGACTCCGGTGTTATTCCTCTGTACCCAATAAATTCACGCCATATCCCACTCTTCAAACCGAAATACAGCCATGCAAACACAGCTGCTTCACGGTTGAAACACGAATGGGACAGAGGTACCCAAGCAATCGACTTTTGTATAAAGTCTCCCCCCATATAGAACAATATATATGTAATTTTTTACTGTAATAAATATTGAAGTCAATTGGAAATTTCGAACCATTGACTTGTGTTGTATCAATAAATCATTGAATAAATAATACGACTTTGATTTTTGTTGATAAAACTTACAAGGTTAAAGATTACAGTCGAGGTTATATTAATCCATTTTTAATATTGTGTGCCGTGTATACTGAAAAGATATTTGAAATTTAATAAACAGACTCGAAAAAGCAGTATTTTGAAGTTGTTTTCACGAAATTCAGCTATGTAGGTTTAGATTTAAAACATTAATTCACTATTGCTCTGAATTAGATGCGGTTCCTACAGTTATATTCCTTAATGCCTAACTTAAAACCCGGTGTATGCTTTGTCTTGATATGCCATCTTAAAGTATTTTATTGGATTAGCGGGCAAAAAGCTAGCAAAATTTCTAAAGTGAAAAAAGTGTTGTCCTCCTCTCTCCTACTCGCTGTGCCCAACAGGGTCCATAATTGAAATGTTATCTACTAATTATATTATGGAATGCAATAAGAAATAAATAAATAAATAAAAATATATATTATTTTTGTCCGTTATTTTATATTTAATTAGACGGACTTAATACAAAAAAAATCTCAGCCAGTCAACCATAGAGAAATGATTGAATACTCAAGTACGGTACTAGTGATAAAAAATACCATTTCAAATCTGAATAATTCACCTATACGTACTTATAATATGCGAGTGGGTTTAAAAAGCACACAAGCAACACAAATGCTCATCACTTGCATTTCTTGACACAAAATACCGTTTTGAAATATTAATAATGGGCGGCTAGTCCACTAATGAACAAGAGCAAGCGTGGACCGTGGGAGCGCTTCCCAAGCCATTGTTGGCAGCACAACTTTCTTAGGGTCGACAGCATGGAACCGGCGAGCCTCGCAATCACTGATCACCGCGATGAATAATAATCGTAATTAAACTTGTTTATCCAGCTAATTAATTAGACAACTGATTTAGGGATGTTAAATAGTATACGCGTACATTGACACTAGCCGATATGGTTTACGGAACTGACTTGAACAACTTCGAAACTATAAAGCTTTTCGAGATGGTATCAATACACTTTTTCTTTATAAACTATATCTTTTTGATCCTTATTAAATTTCTCTCTTCTTCTCCCTACAGATAATCCTAGCAGACGAGTGCACGGAAGCCGAAGGACGAGCGTGGCACATGAAGCATTTCGCGTGCGCAGAATGCTCACGGCAGCTTGGCGGCCAACGGTACATCATGAGAGAAGCGAGGCCCTACTGCTTGCCCTGCTTCGACAACTGCTTCGCCGAGTACTGCGACGCTTGCGGGGAACCGGTCGGCGTGGATCAGGGCCAAATGTCCCACGAGGGGCAACACTGGCACGCGACCGAACGATGCTTCGCCTGTCACACGTGCAGAGCCAGCCTATTAGGCCGCCCCTTCTTACCACGCAAAGGAGCTATCTATTGCTCTATAGCTTGTTCTAAAGGTGAGCCACCGACACCTTCCGATTCTTCGGGCCCCGGACCTCGACCACCGAGAGTGCCTCGACCGAGAAGAGCACCCTCCCCGAAGTCTCCGCCACGAACACCACAGAGAGATCCTTCACCTCATAATATCGACGCAGATTCCGAACCGAGTGGCTCTTTATGTCCAGAGTCCCCTCCACCTCACCCTCCACCACCTCCACATGCCTGCCTTAGCCTTGATAGAGCGTTAGCAGATTTAAGATTAGAACAGTCCATGACAGAGCACCAAATACAACCGACGCCAACGTCGGAAGAACACAGAGACGAAGAATCACCTGAAGATTGGAAACCACCACACCCTGTCGAAGCTCAAGCGGTAGTTACCCCCGGGCATTCGTCATCGATGCCAGAATTGACAGTAGTTGATGGAATGAAATCAACAAGGAAACCTAGAGGCGGAAGAACAGTGCGGTTCTCGGGTGACGACAACGAAGCCTTCGAGCCTGACGAGCCTGTGAGAAAACAGAAGGTCAGAGACGACGACGCGAGCAGTTACTGCAGCACGTGTTCTTCCTCGTCCTCATCAGCTGAATCCTACACACTGCCGACTAGGAGAGCTTACGGCGGTGTTAGGATATCGTACATTCCGAACGACGCGGTCGCGTGCGCGAAACGCGAGAGACAAAGGAAAAACGCTCAAAACGACAAGAACTGCATCATCTCGTGATCTTGGGTTCTTATAGTGCCTCAAAATCCCTCCTAGTGACACCGACCTCCGAAACTAAGACTGACTCAAATAGTTTTGTAGCCCCTTAAAGCCATAGTATTGTAAGAAATTTAGTGAAAAAGCAACTGTCTTCCTCATAGCGCACTTTGTACTCCTATATTAACTTCGCCAATAAAAGCTTTGACAAATGGTATGCTACGATAAAGGGTGTACGTTACTAATAATATATTTATTGAGCCAGGTGTGCGCGTGCGTGCATACGATGACGGCGTGACAGTAGACAGTCGTCGTGTTGTGACGTCCACGCGGGCGTTACAACTTCGGCATCCAAATAAAAGACTTACCAGTGAATAGAGATTTCGACAAATTTCTATTCCAATTCATAATTCGAACATAATCGCTTCTAAATGTGACGCTTCATTTATGCGATTACGCACCTTTTCTCAATCGAACGGGTTGGCTCGCTTCGCTGTTTTTTCTATGTAAACTGATTAATTGAGGCCTAAAGTTAGTGATCTGATATTATAAGTCGTCAGCTTTAACTTATTCGGGAGTTTAATATATTAATCGTTAAATTAATCGACATATCGCATGTAATTAAAAAATACCATATCGTATTCATAGAATGATTAATTTAAAACATATCCCACTTTGCCACTTAGGTTAACTTTAGTTGTATAAGTATTTTAGTATTAATTTAGTGAAACATTTGTACATTATAAACGAAATAAGTACAAAGAGACGCGTTGTATTATTTTGTATTTCAGCTATATTCGAAAATGTGTGTTCAAATTATTTTACCTATGTAAATAAAGGTAAGAAAACAATTTATTATGGTTAGATTAGTTTAAAATTGCCTTATGTATTTAAGCAATTGTATTATTGTAAAAATTTGATAATAATATTGTGTATAATATATAAAACAACACCGGATACTAAAATAATATTAGATAGATTGTTGATTTTAAAGACAAATGTGACATACTTACACATAACATGTTATATTGACGTCGAAAGATGGCGTTCTTAAACAGTATTTATTTAATATTAATATCTACTAAATTTAAATAACATTACGGACACACATTGCATAATCGACAGTCAAAAGAATGGTATCCTTTTATGTATGTATTCATAGATTAAAAAATAAGCCAGTGAAGTGAGTTAGAGAATTCACTGGCTACCTTTGGCCCTGTTTTCACCAAAATACATGTCTCAAACACAACGTCCTAGTATTTTGGGACATGTATTTCGTTTTTAGTAAAAATATCAAGTTTCATACATGTGTCAGAGCATGGTATGAATGCTCCACCTACATCATATATGGTACATGTATTTACTGAAATTTGATTATATTATCTAGAGAGTAAATGGAGATAGTTAAAATTTTTTTGCCATAGTCGCTGCAAACGTATTAAAATTGCACCTTAAATGAAAAATGGGAATTAAAGAAAGAATAGAATATTATGTTTAGGTATATAATCAATATAAAATGCAATGCATTCACGTCATAAAACTTTCCGACGTTCATCGAATTCATGGTTTTTTTTTATGTGATTTATAAAACTTTTATGGAGGCATAAAAATATTAGAATACTTAGCGACCGTAATGTTACAGTGCTCCCCTCCAAATACTTATTTTGTAGCGTTTTGTATTAGTGTATAGTATTTTATACAGATACCTTTTTTTGTGTACAAATAAATAAATGATATTATGTAATACGTAAAGTTTTTAAAGTTATTTGTAATAACTGAAGACGAATAAAATGTTTTTCAATAATATAGAATTTGTTTTTACATACCCCTTTCCCCTGTTAAGGCAAAGAGACATAGATTATAATGGTATCTAAATAATTTATCAACTAACAACGAAAATCCGAAATGTTCTTCTAAAGTTTAGTTACGAACATATGCTGAAGGCGAAAACAATACAAAAATTGCAAAGCAAAATAATGACATTTAGATGTCCATCTATCTATAACGTTTCTAGATTAGTTCTCTTCAGAACGTGTGAGGGTGCATATCTAAAGAAGTTAAACAGGTAGGTCATGGAATAATTAGATGTGGAGGAACACAACAGTATTCCTCAGGTATTGCCAATTTTTTTTATACAACTCAGAATGGCAAACAAGCTGACGGCCCACCTGATGGAAAGTGATAACCGTCGCCTATAGACATGAGCAGTACCATGGACATAACAGAGTATACTGTATCGCCCATGATACCCCTCATGCGTTGCCATTCCTGAGGACTCAGGTGTTATTCCTCTGTACCCAGTAAATTTACGCCATATCCCACCCTTCAAACCGAAACACAGCCATGCAAACACAACTGCTTCACGGTTGTAACACGAATGGGGCAGAGGTACCCAAGCAATCGACTTTTGTACAAAATAATTCCCTCTGGTAATTCTAAACACTATGTCATATCTCTGTACCCTGTAATTTCACAGCCTTAAGCACAACGCTATGCAAGCCCAGCTGTAGATTTTAAAGAACTTTATTAACCAAATGAGAATACGGTAGATTTTTTTTAATGCATGATAACGGAATGGTAACCCCGCCCGCGCTATCGGTATACACCGGCGGGGCACCAGTGAAAGATAATAGGTGAGAATGAAGCAGGTCAGTTAGCTCACCGTAACAATCAATAATAATCAGTAATCTAACAATAAATCAATCACGGTGATTTCAATTATTATTACAATTACTGGACCGATTTTGATAGACTTTCTACAAGTACATCCTTTCAGATGAACCAGTGTTTTTCAAAGTGTGGATCGCGACCCCTTGGGGGGCGGTCCCTATTAAATAGAGTAATAAAATGTATTCTAGAGGTAATACATTAATCATCATCATTATTTCATCATCTGTCCACTGCTGGACATAAGCCTCCCCCATAGACTGCCATAAAGAACGGCAGGACCGTTCTTTTGCATCCACTGACTCCCTGCAATGAATTTCAGGTCGTCACTCCATCTAGTGGGCGGTCGTCCTACATTGCGTTTATCCGTACACGGCTGTTAACGCTATAGCTGATTAGGACTCTCCGCCACTCACAGTGTACAGAGCCAAAATGCACGTTAGGAATGACTTGGTGGAGCTATTGAGACGTCTGAAGTTATCAGTGAAAGTACTTGTATCTATCTGTCTGTGCAGTGCGCGTGTGGGAACCCGCCCACAATGCGTTTCAGACAGACGTATCATAGCGTCATACTCAAACAATGCTTAAAAAGAGATTTGCCGTTAGGCAGTACATATTATTATAGCTATTCTGACTGCTATGAGAATTGTCGATGATCCCAGGCTTACAAGCGGCATCGAACCCTTAAGTCTTAGGAGAGATTTTGTTACTGCGTGTTCTACCGCTTGTACAACGGATTGTGCTCAGAGGAATTATTCAATATGATGCCTACGGCCACTTTCTATCATCGTACGGCTCGCCATCGACAGGGAGTTCATCCTCATACCTTACAGCCTAAATGGTCGCGTACAACGCGGTTTCAAAGATGCTTTCTCCCACTAACACTCAGGTTATGGAATGAGCTCCCTGCCGTAGTTTTCCCAAGAGACTACAGTATGCGGTTCTTCAAAAGGGGGGTAAAGAGGTTTCTTCAGGGTCGGCACCACGCGCGTAATACCTCTGGTATTGCAGGCGTTCATAGGCTACGGTAACCGCTTATCATCAGGTGGGCCGTATGCTTCTTTGCCACCTCAGTGGTATAAAAAAAAGTCTTAGGAGAGATTTTGTTACCACATAACTCCGTAAGTTGTAGACCGATCTGGTAATTTCTTTTTTTTTTTTTTTTGAAAGGAGAAACTGACAGATTTTTCCCGTACAAATTTTATCAAAATCAGTTGAGTAGTTTAGTTTTTTTTTAATCAAAATTGCCACAGCTGAAGTAAATTTTTTGTGGAATTTATTTTTACATTTTTTTTAAATTTTTTTACAACACAGGGGGCAAGCTAGCATGCGGCTCGTCTTTTTTTTACACAACTTAGAATGGCAAACAAGCTGACGGCCCACCTGATGGAAAGTGGTAACCGTCGCCTATAGACATGAGCAGTACCATGGACATAACAGAGTATACTGTTTCGCCCATGATACCCCCCATGCGTTGCAATTCCTAAGGACTCAGGTGTTATTCCTCTGTACCCTGTAAATTCACGCCATATCCCACCCTTCAAACCGAAACACAGCCATGCAAACACAACTGCTTCACAGTTGAAACACGAATGGGACAATCCTGATGGTAAGTGACTACCGCCGCTCATGATCACCCCTGGAAACCATCGTTGTTAATTCTCATGGAATTCATCACGATAGGCTAACTGACCTGCTGTCAGCCATTAAAATAAATCATAAAGGTACAATAACATAACCTTCAAGAAAAGAGCATATTCCTTTTTAAAAGGCCGGCAGTACATCTGTAATGCCATTAGTGTTGTGGGTGATCATGGGCGGCGGTAGTCACTTACCATCAGGTGAGCCGCATGCTTGTTTGCTCCCTGTGTTGTAAAAAAAAGGTATATAAAAATAAAAATTAAAAATATTTCTTATTTTTTATGAGTCAGAAGAATAACACCTGAGTCCTCAGGAATGGCAACGCATGGGGAGTATCATGGGCGAAACAGTATACTCTGTTATGTCCATGGTACTGCTCATGTCTATAGGCGACGGTTACCACTTTCCATCAGGTGAGCCGTCAGCTTTTTGCCATTCTAAGTTGTATAAAAAAAACTAAGAATTTTATTTTCTATATCAGTCTAAAATACAACTAAAAAGGATAATTAACGGGTGATAATGAAATGGTTACCCCGCCTGCGCTAACGGTATACGCCGGCGGAGCACCAGTAAGGGATGATCCATCCAGTGAGAATGAAAAGGCAGGTCAGTTAACCCATAGTGATGAATGCACCTAGAATTCAGCTCGATGGTTTCCAGTGGGGATCACGTGGAGGTCGACCCAACAAAGTATATTGCTAGCAATAGGACTGGTAGTCCGCATTACAAACAAACCCTTCTCCATTATACCAGGCCGCCTGGTCAGTGAGATCCGTACCAAGCAGTTTGGTAAAATAAGCTAAGTTGTAAAAATTAAACATATGTACAAGTGACAGCCCTTGGTTGAATGCTTCAACGACTCGTATAAAGTTGGACGCCATAGCAATATCTAATGTCCTCGCAAAGCAAGTTTATAGTCGAAATTCATCCAGGCGGGAACTGATGACAGTTAAGTCTAGACATTTGCTGATAGGAAATAGATTTATATTTCATGTATATTAATCAAAAAGTAGTTAAATAATTTTATTTAAGACTAGCGGCCCGACCCAGCTTCACACGGCTGGACATTTTTACATTTTAAAAAGTAGCAATTAAGGCTGCACACGCGACGGAAGCTTAAAAATGGAGTAACTTCTCCCGTTTTTCCAACATTTCCCTTCACTGCTCTGCTCCTATTGATCGTAGCGTAATGAAAAGTATACTATAACCTGGCCAGGAGTATGAAGAATAATTGTACCAAGTATCGTTAAAATCCGTCGAGTAGTTTTTGTTTCTATAACGAACATTATAGCATTTTTGTCATCAGTATCGATCACTAATCACCGCCTGATAGTTATTTTGTAAATATATTTCATGTACAGAATTGACCTCTCTACAGATTTATTATAAGTATAGATAAGGGTTCTAAAACTGGAGTGAGAGAGAAAGAAAAAAAAACCTTTAAGAAAAGAGTATATTCCTTTTTAAAAGGCCGGCAGCACACCTGCAATGCCGCTGGTGTTGTGGGTGATTATGGGCGGCGGTAGTCACTTACCATCAGGTGAGCCGCATGCTCGTTTGCCCCCTGTGTTGTAAAAAAAAAGCCACCTCAAAGAGTATAACATTTTTCTAATTATAACTTAAGCTTGTCTAGTTCTTTTGTTTGAAAATTGTCACAATATTGTACACCGCTTATACATAATAGGTATTTCATATGGATTATGTATTATATTCTATATATAATAATTGCCGTGTGGTCCCGATATAGAATAGGTCACCTCACCCCTTCTCAGACGGCTCAGAAAATATAAAGGGAACTTAATAGTGAGGAATAGACAACAGCGTCCCTCTTAAAAAATCACCAATACCTTACTGCGGTTGCCAATTCGCCTGCCAAGCGTGGCAACTACTGGCAAACCCCCCAAGGGGGAGGCCTATGTTCAGCAGTGGACGGTAAACGGCTGATATGATGATGGTAATATATGGTATGTAATACCATAAAGCATGGGTGAACTCTCATGTACATGCTGACTATCCCGTTCAGCGTAAAAATACAATATTTCAGTGTAACGTCAGTCTATTTATCTGTCTGGTGTTTAAATGAGTTAGGGTTGTTGATATCAAGACATCTCCTATTTAGACTACACAAAATTGACAAAACAACGTTCCAGACAAGTTTTCAATTAACTTTATTTACATAATAAATAAAAAAATTCGAGTATCTCAAATTATATATATATATATATATATATATACATATATATATATATATATATATATATATATATATATATATATATATATATATATATATATTTAATTATGAAATTTTCCAATAAATCATCACCTTCTTCCTACCCTTGTCCCAATTATTATTTGGGGTCGGCGTAATATGTTGTTATCCATATTACAAAAGGATTTGGCTTATAGTTTTACGACCGGCCACCTGCCTGACGTCAACCCTGTTCGGGAAATTTAAATTTTCCGATAAATATAGAACTAAAATATTTTTG